AGTTCCACTTCAACACAAATTGTTCGCCAGCAGCTCAAGGATAGGACACATCGGTGGCAGATTTCCTTCTATGTATACAATTTCTCTTGCTCGTGTCGAGCAAGGTATTTGGGGGAAACGACGAAGCGACTGTCCGTTAGAGCTCCACAGCATTGCCCAACTTCGCTGTACTGCGGTGTTGAGAAGAATGTAACAAGTGTAGTGTTATCGCACTTACTAGTGCGACTCCCAGCACCGAATCACTTCGCATGACACAATCGTGCCAATCTTCTGTGTACCCAGACGTTACACACCAGCGGTCAGATGCTGATTGCTGTCGACAGCGGAGGCGATCGCAATTCCGCTCCATAACCCAGAACTAGAGACAAAGTAAAGCACATCTAAACCCTGTCACTACGCTGACCTCAGGCCAACATCTGACTAACATTGGCGGTCAAGCCACTCCACCTGACATCACATCAACTAGATCAATCACTAAGACTTGTCGATCAGATACATTGCTTCAGTGCCTCACCGCGTTTAAACATCTTGTACTCATGCTAGCCTGCTGCGTAGTGCTTGTATTTAGCCGGATGATGAAACCCAGAAAATAGGTTTGTTTGTTAGTTTGGTTTCTGATATCTTCTATGGGAAGTTTTTCTCTTTAATCTGAATATGATGAGTGAGTTGTGATGCCACGAGGTGAGTCATTAGCTGAACGAGTTCAGCATATTTTTCGGTTCATCGCAATTTGATCACAAACGATAAGTTCTAGTAGCAAAACTAATTAGTGGCTGTACCCTACCAGTCCCCAAAATTTCCGTTTGGATTCACAGCTACTAGCAAGGGAATTCCCGACCTCTGATGTCCAACCACTGTCCGCTGCATGAGTAGTCATTTGCATGGGAAGTGAACGGTGGGTCAGGCTAGATGGCGGTTAAGTTTTAATTCATATATTCGACTATGATCCCTGTTTTATCAGTGTCATTAGCTGTTGGTGCAAGCCACTAGTGGTCGTGCACAGATTTAGTAATCAACCTTTGTGGCTTGTAATCTAACTGTGATGAACCGAATATTTCTTGCCAAATCTGTCTATTCATGAGTTCAGGCTAAACGAAGAAGCGATCGGCATAGTCGGGATTGGTCTGTGGGAAACGTGGACTGCATCGACAGCTGAGATGTCTGTTCGGTGTCAGGGTCGATTAGTGTCGTTGCGGATTTGACACTACCCTTTTGTTTCGGATCAATAAATAAGTCGAATTGTTTGAGGAAGTCCACACGGATGATGATTAACAGGACGGTTGAAGTAGTGTACAGCCAGATAAGTGCTCCACAGTGACTTAATTTAGTGGTTAAGGAGCATTGGCTTTAGGTAGGATTGAGTGTGTCGTGGGTGGCACGGAATATGTGAGTGGCTAGTTAAGTGTCTTCCTCCGGTGCGGGAGGAACAACGCTATCTTCAACCCCAGTATCAACCAGGGACGCGGTTCCAGATTTGTTCTTCTGAACTTACAGAATGCAACTTCCGGAACTGTGGCTGATGACGCTACTGGTATGAGATTTGCGGTATGGAAGTTTCCCTGATTGAGTTGAGGGGAAGGTTCAAGGTGTGGTGTATCTCCTCGCCTGAGGGCCAAAGCGGCGGTGATACCAGCAACGTTTGTTGCGTAGGAGGCTGCTGGACTTGGCCGACTTACTCTTGGGTACTGGTGAGTTAGCGAGTGTTGTACGGAGACCGAGAGCGTTGCGAAATGCCCCCAGTTCACTAATTACTACAGTACGTTCATAGGGCATTGTAATAGTGGCTGAATGACACTTGCATGACATAGGTGACTGTTGAGACTTCTTAATCTACTCGGCGATTGTGTAACGAGTGGTGTTACGCAATGTGCTTGAAAAGGAAAAGAATCCATGAGCACGTCGGCCAGTCGTGCGTCTTGGGTGTGGGCACGGACCCTGCCACCAGGGTATATTTCAGGTAGGTGATGTAGCCAGAATACCAGAAGTTTGGATTCATCTGTTGTAGACAAGACGGGGAGTAAGATTATCTCACCCTATAGGACGGATGGCCTCTCATTGTTTAGACGCAAGTCGCTGTTTACTGCGTACTCTCCGGTTGCTACAGCCAGAGTGCGCTCTAGTGATTAAGAGACTTACAAGAAAGATCTGGGTTTGGGTTAGAAAATGCGTCTCATGGCTGGAAAATTATGTCCCTATGAGTACACTTAAATTGTTCAGTAACAATGGTATAACGAAAAATTCATATTCTAGCAAAACAAACCAAGATATGTAGGTCACGAATTAGTACAGGAGGGACAGACAGCAATGCCACACATATTGCTAGCCGGAAAATATTACTATCTGGATGAGCCATGGGATACCACAAAATAAAGGTTGCAGGAAAGGAAATGAAGGAATGGGCTAATCGACAATAAATTTCGGTGAATTCGGAACCGTGCCCGCATTCCGGATCATCAAATTTTGGTACATCTCAGATACTAGTCGCAAACAGTGACATGTAAGCGGTGTGCAACGTACGAGAGTGCGGAGAGCGGAAAGAGCGGCTGAAGGCAACAGTGGCTATAAGGAGCGGAGGGCAGTTGAGCAAGAACAGGATGGTAGCGTGACTCACTGTGGAGAGGAAGTGAGCCTGGTGCACAGTTAGTAAAACAAATAGATGATCGGAAGTAGAAAGATCAAGAAAATCCGGAGACGCAAATGTTTCAATTCCTCTACCATCTCCATGACCACATTAGCTCTACTTGTTAATTGAGATGCACTGCCATTAATCAAGCGAATGCTGAAGTCTTTTTCACAAAGACGGTTCGTTTTCAATCAGCCTACACGCATTCATAGTGCAGGTAAATCCGCTGTGATGATCGTTAGGCAGCTGTAGATAACGTTGCCACTGCTATTCCTAAGCCTTTGGTGTAGAACGGAGCAGTGACCGACGTATCAAGTAGCTTCGCAGAGTAAATCAAACGAGGTTACTTTCCGGAAAATTACACATTATGCATCCGATGCCACATGAAACACTGAGAGCCGATAACCAAGACTGGCTGATCAGTAGGACAAAGTGACGGGTAATCATACTGAGCTGAAGTCTTATTGATACTGACATAGTGTATTCGTCAAAGACGGTGCGCAATCAGGTGTTTGTCGCTTGGAGCATGCCTTCCATGGGCTTTGGGTTTATAGATAAGAACAAGGTGGGTATAACTTCGTTAAACGTACCCTTGATTGTACAGACAAGCTCAAGTACAGAAGATCGGTCCAAAGAAATAACCGTCGATTTTTCTAAAAGTGAGTTGACGGAAGGCCACGGAATACCAACAGTTTTCCTTTTTCACTGGCTACATCATTATGAGAGGAAAGGTGGATGAAACAGCTCGTTACGCATTTGATAATTCCACCCCATCCATTCTGTTTACGCAACTGTTGGCTTTGGCAATTTCCAGCGCTTAAACAGCTAGGCTTTTAGGGGTTGATCGCAATCCCCTCCTAAAGATCGCGACATCATCCAAGGGAAGTTCATGCCCGGCGGCTAATATGTGCACTGTCATGACGGAATGTAATTGGAGTCCTGAATTCAGACGCGTTCCTCAGTGGCCGTGATGTGCGCCTCTAGCGTTCCGCTAACCTCTTGCACACACAGTCTTTGAGGCTAAATGTTTAGATGCACATGGTCGTCTTATCCGTAGGGAGAGTCTTTCTAACGCACCAGTGTCGGATGGAGCGTTTTACCCTTTGTTTAGCACCCTCCATGATCCTTGTTTCTAAGGAAACACCGTCCCCATCCATTCCGTCGTACACCGTGAATGTGGGTTTAGAACCTTCTGCAACTGCCCTCTCACCCATCACTTCTGGTAACCACTATCCAGCAATTAGTTCGTAAATTGCTTCCGAGCCACCTAATGATATTCCTTTGTGCACGGGGTCTGGGCCCGATGAAGTAGAACTGAGGTGATTCGGGCATACACATGCTTCGGGTGGCTTGAACTATAGTGTAGCATACCATCTGTGTCCGTCGGTTCACGGAATATCGTTGCTTTTAGAAGAACCCCGTTTCTATGAACTAAGCAATCTAGGAATGGTAATGTACCTCTGCAAAATTACAATTTTATCACTACAAATGTGTCGTCCACATAGAGCCGCCAGATATTCGGCACGTTGTTGTAGTTTTCAGCACACTCCTTACGAAATCCTCTATGCACAAATTTGCCAACACAGGGGAAATTGATGATCCCATAGTATGATCTTTTCCTGAAGGTAGAGGTTCGATTGAAACTTGGAATATGTAATGCTAAGTAAGACACCGCTTCATTGCCTCGATCAGTTGAGCTACCGTAAGATTCGTGCGCTATCCATGGTAACGTAACTGTCATCAATCGCGTTTTGACACGTTGGTGGAACGCGAAATAACGTCGAAACTGACCACCAGTTCATCTGACTCAGTTAACATACTGGCAGCCGTTTGTACGAATTGAAAAGTACTCTTTACGAACGTAGTCGTTTGCTATGTGAACGGTTGCAACAGACGAACTAGACATCTGCATACTTCACTTGACCTGAAGAACATTTGCGTCAAAAGCTAAATGTTACCCTCGACTGCGAATTTGCCAATCGGTTTTTTGCAAATCCTTCTGAAATCATGCATTCTCGATCGGTTCCCAACATATCTCAAGATGTAGAAACGATACCTTCATTAGCTTACACGTTCGCATTCAATCTACGAGCTTCCCCTCCTATTCGTATACATCATGCTTACAGCGCCTGACCTTCATTATGCTGTCACATTAGATTGCGGTGAACCGGTGAACACCAACAAATGTTACGCTCGTCGGCAGGGAGAAACTTGTTTGACCCAAGTTCACTTCAATGTAAATCAAGTCCCATTGTTTAAAAACAACCGTGGTTTGTAGCTCAAAATATTTAATGGAGAATGCACATGTGTACCGATAGGATATCAAGAGCAACTATCGAACTCCGAACACTGGGAGCAAATAATCCCACAGATTGCTTCACTGCTCTTCATTATCAGCACCTATGATGTGATATCCATCCGGTGGTTGGATACTCATATCCTGTAAATTGTAGAAAATTATCATGGAGCATAGATAACAGATAACAAGTACAATACGGTATATTGTGTGTGAATACACAAATAGCATACTAAGTCATGCATCTACGAACTGATTACTAATTGATGAATCACAAAGTGGATGCCGTTCACTTCCAACTCTCCAATGCGTCACCAGACTATCAAATGTCCTAACGATGTGCGTTTAAGCAATGCAGTTTCCTGTTTCTTTCTGCGTGCGCTTCAAAACCAACACTGGGTACACCGTCATCGGGTATCATTATCAAACGATGACAGAAGTATGTGGTTGCTCTCGAGAAAACATAATGGGCGCAATCATCGGAAAGAAGAATTAACGAACAATCTTGTTTTTATTGGTTCCTCCCAGAAATCTGTCTAATTTCCAACTTATTTACTTTCAAAATTAACTAATACGTCGGGAAACGTGCCGTGTCCACAGATTTGAGTTGAATCGTCAGAACAAATCGTTCTGGAAATTTGATCCAATCTGCCGCTTATCCGTACATCACGCTCGAGCGAGTATATGCTGTTCACTGACAAATCCGAGCCGATGTTACCCGTCCAAAAACGATAAGTTAGAATCATGTCCCCTGTTATCCTTCGGTAGTGCATTCCCAAACTAAGCAGGTGTTCGGGATATGTCTGCCCCCGTAGACCCTGCACTAACCGAGTGCCCACTCGTAACACGCTCTCCAAGTCCATTTTGTCTCGGTTAAGACCTGGTGGACAAGTCTGGATACAATACTCCATGTAGGGTCAGACGAATGCCGAGAATAGCTTCACAAACAAATTGGTCGCTAGAATTCCGAAAGACGGTGGATAAACCACATCATACGAAACCCCGGAAAATGCTATCCAAACCATGGACATCAATCGCTTATTCTCACATTCCTGACGATAACAGTCAAAAATGCTGCGACACATTCACAAACACAAGCTACATTCGTAAACAGTTACGTACGTATATACACCCATACACATGTATTATTGTACATTTTTAATCACACTACGTTAGCTTAGCATCATCATGCATGTAAAGGTGTGCCTCGCATTGTCGAGAATAAAGGTTTATCTATTTTTCTACTTACATGTATTTTACCATACGGCATAGACAGCAACATGGTTAGAAGGTAAATTTGTTTTTAAGCTCGGGAACAGTTGTCTGGTCACACAATAAATGCGACAGATGTGGAAATACGGATGAGTGGTAAGCTCTTGTACAAGCGTAAACGGATCTATACTCTTGTCTGGTTGAGGAAGCCGACCCTGCCAGACATTGCACCATAACGGGAGTGACCTGCTTCCGTGAGTATTACTGAAGTAAGTCCTTTGCATGTGCTAACATGAGTAGCCACAATAATATTGACAAACATCCGCATTGGAATGACACCACATCGTGGTACTTGAGTTCATGCCCTTGCTAGGATAGAGAAATGCCTTGTGAATGAATCAGTATAATCAAAGAAGATAAGAGAAAACCTTACCGTACACTTAATTGCAAGTTGCTCCTGAAGTCGCCTGTTCTCCTCTTTTAGAGCTGCAAGCTCAGCCATTATCGCCATCATTCTTGGATCCTCAGATATATTGATTGTACTGACTTCCTGATGCTGGAATTAACATAGTAAGCAGTTCAAGGCTGATTAAAAATATTGATAGGCGTGGAACAAGATAGACACTCGATTTCTCAACGATACCACACAATATAAGTGTACAAACCAACCGACTTACGACGGGCACCGGTATCGGCATGGGAAACACACATTTGAGTAGCGCATAAAATACTTTATCCGTGGTTCGCTGTGGAATGAAGATGTTCAGAATAACTATGTGACACATACTTACCGGTTCCGATGTGCATCGCTCATCATCCCTATCAAACATCAGCGACTTGATTACAATATGCTGAGGTGGCATCTTCGCTCTACTCAGATTTTCCAGTTTGCAACTAACTGGGAGGCGCAAGATACACAAGCTGTCAGTAAACCAATTACTTACCCAAAACGTTTACTGTTTGCCCCGGATCAACAACATTCTTCTCGGGAACTGCCCGTAGTTCGTTAAATGGACATTGTATTTGGTAGTAAAGTGCATTGCGAGACTCATTAGTCAAGTGAATAGTAGATGCCATGGAATCATTTTGAGTTTCTAGAGAGCAATATTTCGAAAATATGCAAATACTTTCAAATATAAGTTGCTCAAGCGGTTCCACTATCAACTGACTTGGCATCCGAGGAGCGCACACCAGGGTCGATTGCCTAATTTTCCACTGTTCCGCATCTTTCCACTAATCAAGAAGACAGTTGAAATACAAAACTATCACGGACCACTTGATCAATATTGACCTCTCCTTCTTCGTCAACCATAATACTTTGGATTACTAATTTGTGTTCAGTCTTCTCCAGTTGTCCTTCGCAGAATGGTCGAATTGTGACTAAAAACATATTTGAAAAAAATGACGCGCCCGATCGACTTACCGGAAATGTTGAGGCTAGTATTTGGCTGCAGTAGTCCGTTGCTCGGCTCGGTAACATACCTCTTTGGTACAGTCGCTTTAATCTTGAAACATGTAGGGCTGTCATGCAGATTGAACAATGTGAGGCGAGAAGTGACAGCTTGGTAAAATGGTCCTGAAACATAAATAGGCGGAATGGTTATCCGTTCCGAATTACTTGCTCCACCAAACTGAGACGGTGCACAATACACATCGGATCAAGTGAAGACGTCAAAGTCTACACGGAAGTAGAATTCACAGGATTTTATATAATTAATACTAATGGATGCAGCTAGTGCCAATGGGTTGTAGAGGGCATTTGCTTTTTCTTGATAGACAAAATGTTATCAATGAGTTTAAGCGTTCACTGTAGGACATGAGGTTACATGACTGCTGGGACCATTTACCCATAATGATAGGAAATTTTGCATTCGACTGGTAAAAAACGCATATGACATAACATTAGCTACTTCACACCACTAAGCGAAGTAGAAACACATACCAGGATCGTTCTGTGGTGCCCGTAAAACACTAGACAAACGGTTTGATTTTAGTTCGCAGTCATCCGGATGAAATGCTCCATTTAAGACGGAAGCTGCATTGAAGTATATCATTTATATGTTTACCGCAGTTCTGCTTGTGGTAAAGAGCTTACCTTCAAAGTAGAGCGTTTCGGTTGGTTCCACGCGAAGTAGACTATTTTCGACCTCCACCATCGTATTTACCGTTTGACTCCACAAACGCAAGTGATGATGAAGGCCATCATGGCCTCAGACATACCTCTGTCTTGAAGTTTCTCGAGCCAATGAGAATGTGGATGTGAGCACGACCGCACATGTGATGCGTGCATCTGCCTCACTTTCTTCGTTAATCAAGAGGGCAGGATAGAGAAAGCACAAGTTCAAAGTGGGCA